TTTTGAGCAAGTAAAGAAGTATTTTGTGGAATGTGTTATTCCAACTCATTTTGAGCTTTTGGATAGTCCTGGCAGTGCATTAGATATCAAGGCTGATGAGATGATGGGTGCCATCAATGCAATTGTTGAAGAATGTTCTTCTCAACCAGAAAAGGTAATTTCCTGATAACCAGGGAGGTTGGAGGTAGATGGAATTGTAGCCTCCCCCAGGCTAATGGAATTGAATAGAATGAATTTATTGTTAATAAGAGGACAGACGCAGAAAAACTGAAGTCAATTTGTTAATTTGCATTTCRTAATGTAACCAATTCAACCTAACTCTAAATTATTCGATACCCAATTTAAAATCATTTCATGATTGTAAATAGTGAATTTATGTCAATTTCTATTAATTTTCTTTTTATTTTGTTTTTTTGTTTGTTTGTTTTCGAATTCAGACAAGGGGATTCTTCATAAGGAAAACTGTCTTGACCAAATGTATGTGTGGGGATAGCTTTGGTTTTCATACGAAGGATGCACTTGAATTTGCTGGAATTACCTCTGTCACTGAGCATCAATTAAAGCATTACATAAGAAATGCTAAGATTGGTTGCTGTGGGAGGCTTACCTTCCAAGGAAGGGGACAGATCTCTGGATGTATTCATATTCAAAGAAAAGTACTTTCCAAGGAATTGCTTGCCAAGCTAGATAATGGTAAGAAATATAATTATTCAGTTACTAAGTTGGCAAAGTTGTTGAAATACCACAGTTATGTAATAATAAGAGTATAAGTAATAGAGTAAAAAAGATATCAAAAAATAATTTTGTGACATCACTTCGGTTCTATTGCAGCAATTTAAATTCTAGAAATAGCTAGTAGACCTGTACCTGCACTAGACCTTATTTCCAATGTTCATAAACTCATATGTAACCCATTTATAATATTTGAACATGTGTTTTATCTAAGATCAGGATGTAAATGAAGGAGGGAAGTTAGGTTTATTTTTAATTAACTATTTATATATTATTAGAGAGTAACGAAGCAACAGGAATTAATGAAGAGATCTATTTTCTTTACAGCATTCACAAGCACTCAGAAATCGAGTGCCAAAACCAATTCAAGTGCAACCCCTATGTTGCAAACAAAAAGTAGCACTGTTGGTAGGTTGATATACATTTAGAGGAATATTAAAAATAGAAATATTATTAATATTTCCTTTGTGCTTTTCTATAATGCAACTGTATAGTATTTTCATAGGTAAAGGTTACAGGGGGTTATTACTAGGTTATTATATATGGATACCCCTCTCTTTTGAGAAAAAAAAGGAAGTCACTACAGTTTACTATGCAAGTTCTGAAAACTTTCATTTATTAATGCTTTCTGCTTA